GTGGGGAAGGGCTAGAGCAGCAATTCTCAACCTGTGGGTCGCAACCCCTTTGGGGGTCGAATGACCCTTTCACAGGGGCCGCCTAAGATAAGGTGACCAGATTTTAACATTGGTAAAGCGAGACAAAAGCGGGGCACCATTGATAAAACTCATATCCTGGCAAAATAGCCACATGGCAGCCGAAAACCGTATACCCTAGCTTGTCGTGCATTCTTTCCAAAAATCGGGTCTTTTTTAAAACACCGCGGGACATGGGAAAAATTGTTCAAAATCGGGGCTGTCCCGCCAAAAGCGGGACGTCTGGTCAACTTAAGACCATCAGAAAACACATATTTCCGACGGTCTTAGGAACCGAGACATCGCTCCTCTATCCGCCTCCAGGCGGGTCCGCCCACAGGCAGATAGGCCCACAAACGTGTACCTGGCGTCAAGACTGTTACCCATGCTACACCATGCTTCAAGACAACATTTCATTTATTTGTCATTAGAAATAAATATTTCATCTGGGGTCTTAAAGGCTTGAAGGTAAACAATCAGCCATCTAGCTCAGAAGCAACAAAGCTCACATGGAAGAAGCACACTAGCCTGTGTGATCACGAGGTGTCCAAGGGATCAGGGATCAGGCATCATCAGAACAAAAAATCTTATCATAGTGAATGAGTGGGGCAGTGCGGAATGGAGACCCAAAGCCCATTTGTAGGCCACTGGACATCCCCTCACGGAAGGGTCTCGGGAAGGAGACAAGCCAGTCAGGGTGCGATGTAGCAACCATGGTTTCTTTCCTCAACAACTTCCCTCTAGTTCCTAAATGCTTCCTCCTCCCCCACTATCATGATCCCAATTCTACCTTGCAAGTCTGGCTAGACCTGAGGTGTACACTGGTACAGATAGGAACTGGAAACATAGGGAATCCAGGGCGGATGATCCCTTCAGGACCATGGTGTGAGTTGCGATACTGGGAGGGTGGAGGGAGAGTGGGTTGGAAAGGGGGAACCGATTACAAGGATCTACATGTGACCTCCTCCCTGGGACAACAGAAAAGTGGGTGAAGGGAGATGTCAGACAGGGCAAGATATGACAAAATAATAATTTATAAATTATCAAGGGCTCATGAGGGAGGGGGAATGGGGAAGGAGGGGAAAAAATGAGGACCTGATGCCAGGGGCTTAGGTGGAGAGCAAATGTTTTGATAATGATGAGGGCAATGAATGTACAAATGTGCTTTACACAATTGATGTATGGATGGATTGTGATAAGAGTTGTATGAGCCCCTAATAAAACGATTAAAAAATATTTTTTTTTAATTAAAACAAAAAAATAATCATATAGAGCAGGAAAGAATCTGTGGCCGTTTCTCAATGTGTGGTCCTCAGGCTACCTACAACAAACTTACATCGGAGTGGAGAACTAATTATTTCTAATCCTCTTTGGGGGCCATGGAAGTAGAACAAGTTGCATTATTATAACAAGATTTCCAGGTGAATTTCTGGCATGGTATAGTTTGAGAAAGAGCGTTGGTGGGACTGTTAGGTAAGCAGTGGACTGCTACCTGCAAGGTCAACCATTCGAATCCAACAGCCATTGTGTGGGGAAAGTTTGAGGCTGCCTGTTCCCATAAAGACTTATAGCCTCAAACCCCCTATATGGGGTCAATATGAGTCAGAATTGACTCAGTGGCAGTGGGTTTGTTTTAATGGTTTGAGAAAGAAGTCTTGGTGGCCTGGTGAGTTGTGTTAGATTGCTAATCAAAGGGTTGGTGGTTCAAACTCACCAGCTGCTCCAATGGGACCGATGTGGCAGTCTGCTTCCATAAAGAAGCTCCAGAAACTCTATGAGACTCTATTCTTCCTGTAGGGTTGTTGTGAGTCAGAATCGATCTACAGAAGTGGGTTATCGTTTGAGAAGAATTCCCAAGTGGTGCAGCTGCATTTGGTAGGTGAAAAAGGTTGGAGATTCTAGTCTACTTAAAGGCACCTGGGAAGACAGGTTTGGTAGTCAACTTCTGAAAAATGAATCAAGGTAACCCCTATGCCACACTATTACACTAACCATAAGTTAGCATCACTTGATGGCAACTGGCTGGTTGAGGTTTATAGTTTGAGAACCACTGACTTAGCAGGGACAAAAACCATGTCATTTCTACTTGATATCCATTAAACTTTTATAAAACTTAAAAACAAAACAAACAAGCAACCCCAGGTAGCTGAATGCAGGGATCTGAGGAATAAAAATAGCTATTAAAAAGCATATATAAAAATACATTAAATACGTAAAAAGCATATATAGAATGCATATTGAACATTTAAAATAAGTTAGGCTTTATTCTACACTGATTCAATATGATTTCATTTATCTTCACCAAAACTATTGAGGTCATTAGGAATAGTTATAGAAATAATTTAAAAAATAGAGAATGGGAATTTTATATAGTAAAGCAGAAAATGGGCAGTAGAAAAATGTTCCAAGAGTCCATAGTGTTGGAAGACCAGGATATGTTCCCTCAATGGGGAATGATTTTGGATAGACAAGGGGGAGGGTGTTTCTGATAATGGAAAATAACTGTGGAGTAGAGAAAAGGAAATCAAAACCATTTCCTTTTATTTTATTGAGGGTTAATTCTAGTCCAACGAAGCAAATAAGTATTTGGCTGAGAAAAAACTAACTTTTCTTTTACTCTCTCAAGAAGGAGCAGTGTGGTCTGGTGAACCGCATCTTGGTTCTATCTACTTTTATTTAAGACAACGTCCCAGTGCAGTGGTTCTCAACCCACAAACCCACGAATGACCCTTTCACAGGGGTTGTCTGATTCAAAACAGTGGCAAAATTACAGTTAAGTAGTAATGAAAATAATTTTATGGTTGGGGTGGGTGGGTCACCACAACATGGGGAACTGTGTTAAAAGATCGCTGCATTAGGAAGATTGAGAACCACTGTCCTAGTGGGACCTGTTCTTATCCAGGGAAAAAAGAAAGAAAACTTGACTAGGGTGATCGCTAAGCCTTCTTCCCAAGTACAACATCGTCAGATCCAATGACTGTGAACTGCGCTTGTGCCAGTGACTCTTTCATTTTTTTTAATTTTTAAAAACATTTTATTAGGGGCTCATACAACTGTTATCGCAACCCATACACACATGAATTGTGTAAAGCACATTTGTACATCATTCTCAAAACATTTTCTCTCCACTTAAACCCCCGACATTAGGTCCTCATTTTTCCCCTCCCTCCCCGCTCCCCCCTCCCTCTGTTTTGCTAGTCTCTCTCCAGCCCCGCCTCTACCCCATTTCTCCATGCCCCACTTCATTATCAGTTAATTACATGACTTTTCAAAGTCAGTTGCCCTCATATCAGGACAAACATACCGATTTTTGTCCTAGGAGACAATCACTCAGGGGCTGAAGGATTTTCACAGGTGTAGCTTCCACCCTGGAAGTAAACTCTGGCAGTCAGCTCTTCCCCCTTTTCTTAACAAAAGCCTCCCTTGATACTTCTGCCCAATTATGAAGCCATTTCATATACTGAATCTTTTTAAACCTCCCAAATAATTCAGTATGTGCCTCCTGGTCTCACTCCAAACTTTTCCAGCTTTATCTCTCTTTTTAAAAATTATTTTTAATGTTTTTGTTAAAAGGTCATTTTACTGGGAGCTCTTACAGCTCTTATAACAATCCATACATCAATTGTATCAAGCATATTTGTACATATGTTGCCATCATTATTTTCTAAACATTTACTTTCTATTGAATCCTTAGCATAAGCTCCCTTTTCCTTCCCTCCCCCCCTCGAGATCCCTTGATAAATTATAAATTATTATTATTTTCATATCTTACACCGACCGCTGTCTCCCTTCCCCCATGGCTTCTGTTATTAGTCGGGGAGGGGCGAGTGGGGAGGGCGTTAATGCAGTGAGCTTTCTCTTATCATTAACTCCCTTGACCCCAAATTTAGCTGTGTTCCCTATCAGTTAATCTTTATACCTTTTCCACCAGTCAGCAATAAATTAAAAAATCGGTCTTAAGAAAGTGAAAACACCAACTCGCTGGGGTAGAAAGGCCAGTCTTTCTCTCGCGGAGTAGCTGGTGGTTTTGAACTGCCCACCCTGCGGATCACAGGCAATCTATCCCACCAGGGTTCCTGTTCCAAACCTGTAAGTGGAGAATTAATGAAAAGGGAGAGAAACTATGTGACCAGCCTCTGAGCACCTCCAGAGAGTGCAGAGTTAAATTCAGATATAAGGAAACAGATGAGCGCGGGTGGCGTTTGACTGTTAACCGAAAAGTCAGTTCAAATGCACCAGCTGCTCCAAGGGAGAAAGATGAGGCAGTAGGCTCCCGCAGAGATGTACGTCCTTGGAAACCGGCCTACGGGACAGTTCCACTCTGCCCTTCAGGGTCATGAGCAGGTACGAACAAGATTGCAGGAAGGAGTCAGAATCAGTCCCCCAACTACAGTTTTGATCGCAATTCAACCGGCCGTGGGACGTCAGGCACAGAAACCCCAGCCTCTCTGGGCTTCCATTTCCCTACAACAGCTTGCTCCCCCGCTCCTCTCCCCGTCTGCACAGAGAAGCCATGAGCACCCATGTGCACCCATTCTGCCTCAGTCGGCACGGGGACTCCCCGTCACGTCACCCAGAGGGGACTGGGGGTCCCGTTCCCCGCCGGCGTTGCCCCCACCCCCGGCGTGCCCGCGGAGGAAGGGCGACCCCCGTGGAGCAGGCCGACCTGCGTCGCCGTCCGTCCAAGTTCCCGCGGGGCGACGCCAGGGAGACGAGCTCAGAGCAGCCCACCCCGAGGCCATCCGGGAGCCGCTATCGCCCGGGGCAGGACGCGAACGCTCCTTCGGAGGCCCCGTCCCTCCACGCCTTTCGGTTTCCGGACCGTGGCCCCGGGTCACTTTGTGTCTGACTTCCCCACGCCAGTTACCTCAGGGAGCAACCAGGGACCTCGCACTCCCCTCAGCTCAGCTAGCGCCTCAGACTCCCCTCCCGCCGAGACTCACCTCTTGCTGAGTGGCCGGACCCTCAGGGCCACTCGCACATTCGACATCCCTGCGCCACGGCCCACGCCCAGCAGGCCGGTCCAGCGGCTGCATCCCCGGCCCCCCAAGTCCAGCCGCAAGTTTAGTCCCAGTTCCAGCCCCAACCCGGCCCCGCCCTCCCCACGAGCATCGGGGCGGCCCCGCCCGCGCGCGCCTCCACCCCCGTGGGGCGTGGCCCAGAGTTGCGGCCAATCCTGAATCCGGTGGGCGGGGAGACACCCGGTCCCACCCCTCCTCGCTCCGCCCCACGCATTTCTAAGGGTGCCCCTGCCCTGGCGCGCGCCGCAGCCCGGACGGGGCGGGGCCTTCCGAGGCTCCGCCAATCCTAAGGCTAGTGGGCTGCATGACGAGTGGCACCGCCCCTCCGGCCTCACCCCACCCCGCTCTGGGGACTCCTTTCCTTATGCGGGTCATTACCCACCCGTCACAGCCCGGGCTGAGCTACGCCTGCCAAGCAATGGCCAATCCTAAACCTGGCACGTGGGAAGGCAACAGTCAAATCCAGGCGGTCCTTGCTCATTTCCCTGCTTGTGGATTGGCTGTGCACCAGCTGTTGTTATGTGCTGTGGAGTCAGTTCTGTGCAACACAATAGAACCAGAATGAAACACAGTCCGGCCCTGCGTCAGTCTCACAATTGTTATATTTGAATCTATTGTTGCAATAATGGGCCCCCAAAGCATGATCTAGAGATTCAAGTAAATTAATTAAATTTTGAGAGGCGACAATAAATACAAATGTCAAAGGGTGCTCTCTGTTTTACAGATGAGAAAACTGATGGTGATGTTACGGAAAACAAAACCAAAACAGCTAGTAAGTGGGCCTTGGGTTCAAAACAGGTCTGATTCGAGACCCAACCTGTACTCTCACTCTCTGACCATGGAAGAGAAAGTGTCTCTCTTAATCCATACCCCCATTCCATCCCATCCCAAACTCAGAAGGCCTAAAAGCACATCTCTAAAAGTTGAATTAAAAAAGTAATCAGAATTCACTGAATCTATCATAGTATTAAATACCTTTTCTCTTTGAGGTAGGCCTCAGGCTCAACTTGTCAAGCTCCTGTGAGTCAGGCAGTCTATGCTTATATTTTAACCATGTATGCGACGAAATAGGCAATCCTTCCCTTTGTAATCACTTAGGACTCAGACAAGGACCACAAATTTTTGTTAGAAATTAGTTTTATTTTAATATTTTGAAAAAGAACACAAACCAAAAAATTCAGGTTTACCAATCAATATTCCTAACACAAAAGGCATATTGAGATAGTGAGGTAATAAAGGAAATCACATGACAACAATGCTTGGACACCAAGTCAGGGCTTGACCAGAGTTCTGATGAAATACAAAGGGGAAGGCAACGTTCAAGACAGGACCACTCTACTCGCACAAATCAGCAAAACGGACTTCAAAACGATCCCTCATTGTTTCTCCAGGATTTTTTTTTAAATTATCCTATTTCCTCATGAACAATCAATTACTTTACTCATCATATTTACTGTGGCTGAAGTTTCTTTGTGTTGAGGGTAATAAATGCAAGAATCAGCAATACAGGGAATGCAACAGTACAAAAATACTGAAATGCATGTTTTCACGTAAAAGAAAACTCTGTCTGAAAATTAAAAAAAAACAACCATGGAGAGTCATACTGCTGACACAGGATCAGTGTTTTCTAAGGCAGTTGTTTGAATCAGCATATCATTTCCTATTAAAGGCACAAAAGATCTGAGCACTTGACATGGTAAACCTCTAAAATTTTATTAGACTGTGCCATTTCTCTTTCTCTGCCTATACCTAAGGCAGCCAGTAAGCACCCACAAGAATTGCTTTGTGTGTTTGGGCTGCCATACCTAATTCAAGTTCAGTGATTCACCAGGACTGGCACATACAGTCATACTCATAGCTAAGGATTATTACTGTGAAAGGTGCACAGCAAACTGGCACAGGGTAAAGGTTCATGGGGTGAAGTTCAGGGAAAAACCAGGCACAAGCTTTTAGTGTCCTCTCCAGAGGAGAGGACTCTACTGTGATTCAATGGAGTCACACAGGATGCACTTAAAGCAGCCACAGATGGAAAACACATGTGACATGTTCTCTTCCACAGACCTTCATTAGAGACTCAGTGCCCAGGGTTTTTTGTGGGAGCTAGTCATGCAAACACCATCTGCCTAATGTGTACCCAAAATTCCCAGAGAGAAAGCAAGTGTTCAGCATACACCACACAATCAATTTCTTGTTTATTTTAACATTTAATCTCTCTTATCAGTTAGTATGATGGGCACACTCCTGAAATCTACATTTCCAGATGCCAGCCAAGGGCCAGCCTTTCAAAAGCCTTTCAAAGACAGGCTTGCTCTCTTAATGCTGGCTGAGTGCTCATTCACAATTCCACAGGAATCATCAGCTGACAGTTTCAGAGTGGAGAAGACTTCTAATTCAGGAATATGCATGTTAAAAGACACTTAACAGCAAGTACACTGCCTGAAGAATAGTTAATAAATTTTCATAGGTATTATTTGACCCTCACTAGTTATGTTGAAAAGTGGAATGAAAACATTTAGGGGAGGGAGGGAAATTGTTTGATCCTAATGAACCTGGAATCCTGCTACCTTGATACAAAAACAGCTTTTTTGCTAGCAACAAAGCCTATGAATATTCAGATCACATTTGATTAGAAATAGACTTCTTACAATCACATATAATTAAGCAAAAAGAAATAGCTGATGTTCATTTAGTATTAATAGTTTGGACATGAACTTTGGAATTAAAAGGCAAAAGAGGCATCTTGCTGTCATGTTTATGAAGATAATTTTCTTCAGCTAATATTTTAGGGATAAAAGAAGAAACTTCCCTTTGTTGTTCTCGCCACTTGAGTATATTATCTGCCAGTTCTTCTGTCTCAGTTACCAAAATATCCACTTTTGCTAAAGCCTTGCTCTGTAACATTCAGAAGGGGAAAAGTGAAGAGAAATTACATCCATGTCATTAATTTTTCATCATTTCATCGTTATGACACCACAGTTAACAAAGCATCTTTACCCAGCCCACTGCAAACAAAGGCCTCTTAAAATCCTGCTCCCCCACTTTTTATGGTACTCATTTTCTCCTTGTGAACTCACCTCTCTTTTGTCATCAATTAACATCTTAATGGCACTCAAATCTACAGTCAAAATTATCCTTCCTAATTCAGTCCCACATTTCAGCCTGTTGGAATTCTCCATCTGACTAGACAATATCTCAAAATCAACTGAACTACAATTCAATAAACACTGACTGGATATCTACTGCATGTGCAAGGCAAGTCAAAAAACAACAACAAAACTTCTTTAACCCATACTTGATCTTCCCTCTAACCCTAAAGTCACCCAGGGTAGGAATTTTATTACTTTGAATGTGTCCCTTATCCAAACCATAGACAAGACCTAGAAATTCTACTTCCAGAATCTCTCTAAAAACTTCCATCAATCTTTGCATTCCCATGTGTTAAATCTTCTGTGTGTGTGTTAAGTCTTTCTGTTGAAATGACTGTCATTTTCTCTGTCTTCGGCTTCTCTGGGCCTTCTCTTCTAATCCACAGCTTCCCTATAATGCACATGGGTGCCACCTGAGGATCTTGTTAAGTTAAGATTGACTCTGAAGGTCCAAGATCAATTAAGTCTGCAAATTCAACTCCTAACCAGTTCCCAGGTGATTCTAATGCTAAAGCTCGGCTCACACTTCGAGTAGTGAGGGTCATCTATCCAATACTGTCCCCATGTTAAGGCACCATTTTCATCATGTCACTCTCTTGTGCCCTTCACTTAAGGAACAACATTCAGTAAATACTCAGATACTGTCTCTAATACTCAAATAGTGAAATCTAAACACTGGTTTACAAGGTATTCCATAAACTATAGGTCCTCAGACTTATTTGGCCTACCACATCATTTTCAGGAAAAAAACAAATTACTCAGCAGCGTCCCCCAGGCAACTGAAAACGTTTGTATTATAGCCTGTCATCCAGGATCTAGTGTAGGTGTCTGCTTTTGCAGCCTCCCAGATGATGGTTCCAGAGCTTCCCCTCCAGGGGGCAGTAACGCTCACCTTGTGAAATACTGCCATAAACTAACCCTGAGACTCCACCGCAGGCAGCAGCCCAAGTAAAGTTTAACTCTTTCCCAACCACCACCTATGCTCTCTGCCATGTCTGTATTCACATTGTTGTCTTTGTCTGAGCTATTCTATCGAGTATTCAAATCCCACTGATACGTCAAATTCAGCTCACCACACATTCTTCGGTAAAACTTAATTGAAACCAATAATGAGAATAGTGATACCAGGAGAGCAAGGGGAAGGTTGGGTTGAAAGGGGGAACCGATCACAAGGATCTACAAATAACCCCCTCCCTGGGGATCGAACAACAGAAAAGTGGGTGAAGGGAGATGTCGGACAGTAAAAGACATGACAAAATAATAATAATTTATAAATTATCAAAGGTTCATGAGGGAGCGGGGAGGGTGGGGGGGAGGGGGAAAATGAGGAGCTGATACCAAGGGCTCAAGTAGAAAGCAAATGTTTTGAGAATGATGATGGCAACAAATGTACAAATATGCTTGACACAATGGATGGATGTATGGATTGTGATAAGAGTTGTACAAGATAAAATGATTTTAAAAGGAAAAAAAAAAAGCTTAGTTGAAGTCTTCCTATCTTCTTGCCCTACTTCCAAGGACCCTAAGTTAGAAGTCACCTGTCACTTCTCTGTGCACAATAGATAGCATCTTCTTTATCAGTCTGTTGTACTTAGTATGCAAATATGATAATACGGAGTAGAAAATGTGTGTTTTATAATTCCCTCACTGAACTTTTAAGACTTTCAGGACAGGGACTGATCTCTCACAATATTGCCCCTTACACAATGAAGATGACAAATGATTATTAAATGTTGGAATAAAAGAATATAAAACAACTTCTAAAAAAAAAAGTTACAGAAAAGGAATGGCATCTTGGTTTTTAAAATAATATGCTCACAATATTTACCATCAAAAAGTTAAGCAAGGAGATCACACATTTGAGATTTTGGTATAAAAATAAAGACAGCTAAAAACAGTGTGAAAGTAGATAAGGCACTTAGACACAAGATCTTGGGGTACAAGCGAGAGCTATTCCAAACTATGTCTTTAAAAATTTATCCAGGACAGATGATCCCTTCAGGACCAGTGGTGAGAGTGACAATACTGGGAGGGTGGTGGGAATGTAGAACCGATTACAAGGATCTACATATAACCTCCTCCCTGGGGGACCAACAAGAGAAAAGTGGGTGAAGGGAGACGTCGCACATTGTAAGATATGACAATACTAATTTATAAATTATCAAGTGTTCGTGAGGGAGGAGGGAGCGAGGAGGAAGGGGAAAAATGAGGAGCTGATACCAAGGGCTCAAGTAGAAAGCAAATGTTTTGAGAATGATGATGGCATCCAATGTACAAATGTGTTTGACACAATGGATGGATCCCCCAATAAAATGATTTTTTTTAAAAATGTGTAGGTAAGCTGGAACAGGTGTATAGTTACTTACTGCAAGAAAAGGTGATTGTGACAGGGAATTTATTGTGAGTCGGTGCTCATTCAATCCTGTCAAAGTGAGGGCAAATTTAAGTAACATTAAAGGGCAAGTAGTTTAAAGTCAGATGTTTGTAACCTGGGATTGTCTGTGTTAATACTTACCATGTTCTTTAGATTTGCATCCAAATGGGGAATATTTCTCATGGTTTCCAGATGAGATTCTAAGTTCTCAATGAAATTCACTGCCAGGTCCAGCAAATGTACCATACACCTGGGTGAGAGGAAAGTAGATGAACTTTTTTTAGCTTGATTATTTTGTGTTCCCCTTCTTTCATTTTTAATTTGAGGTAAGAGAGTTACAATCAAACCAATAACAATATTTCCACATTCATGTACACATCAGTGATAAACTGGTCCATCTCCTTCATTTTAAGCTGGTCTTAATTTGCTATCCAAATGAGAGAAATGTAAAGAGACAACATCAATCATAGCTGGGACCCAACCTAATGTTAGACAAACCTCAGCATTAAAATATTTCCTTAGGTAAGTGAAGGGTTTTCTTTAGATAAAACCTCATTCCATTCCGATCTTAATGAACAGTTATGATAAGGACAAATGTACTTCAGAGAAACGCTCTACACATAAAACTACTTCAAATTTTTGACAAAATGCTTTAGAAGCATTTCTTGGTTCTTCTCTATTGTAGCGTTTCTTGATTCTTCTCTGAATGGATGCATTAATGACAGTGCAGAATATATCCATCCACGAAAATAGGAGTTTATATATTATTACTATACGACAGCATAAAGACTCCACCCCTTATAAGAAATCACTGATTGTCCCATGGTCAGATATTGGTGAAGAAAGTTAGCAGATACCAGAAACCTGCTTCACTCCTTTTTTGCTTTGATTAGTAATAGCCTACATCTTCAATTTGATAGTAACAGTAGTCCCATGAGGAAGACAGCAATACAGTATGTTTGGAATGGGAAACTTAGGCAAGATTTAAGTCATTTTCTCAAGGTTTGGAGGCACAAAAACAGCAAAGGACTGAGTACAGAGCCCAGTTCCTCGCCATTAGTTGATACTATTTTCATCTGTCCCCGTTTAAACCTCTCACCTAGTCACAACATTCCCAGGAGAATTTTTATAAAGAAGTACAGGTAACATTAACTCAAGGATAACTTTACTTCCTGAAATAGTCTATACAGAATAAAGTTCACCTATTTTACTGCATGTGTGAAACCAATTTCTTTCATACAATCCTAATTTCTTGAACATAATGGCAAAAGGAATGCCTTTCTCTTCACCAAAGCAAAAGTTCTTCAAAAGCAAGGAATTTTCTTCCAAGTTTAATGCATCATTAATAACAATGGTAACCAGAAGCAACAAAGCCCACATGGAAGAAGCACACCAGCCTATGCAACCACGAGGTGTTGAAGGGATCAGGTATAAGGCATCATCAGAACAAAAAATCTTACCATAGTGAATGAGGGGGGGAGTGCAGAGTGGAGACCCAAAGCCCACTTGTAGGCCACTGGACATCCCTTTGCAGAGGGGTCTCGGGGAGGAGACGAGCCCGTCAGGGTGCAATGTAGCAATGATGAAAAATACAACTTTCCTCTAGCTCCTAAATTCTTCCTCCCCGCCCCCACTATGATACGAATTTTACCTTACAAGTCTGGCTAGACCAGAGGATGTACACTGGTACAGATAGGAACTGGAAATACAGGGAATCCAGGACAGATGATCCCTTCAGGACCAGTGGTGTGAGTGGTGATAATGAGAGGGTAGAGGGAGGGTGGGTTGGAAAGAGGGAACTGATTACAAGGATCTACATGTGACCTCTTCCCTGGGGGACAGACAAAAGAAAAGTGGGTGAAGGGAGACGTCGGACAGGGCAAGATATGACAAAATACCCATTTATAAACTATCAAGGGCTCATGAGGGAGGGGGGAGCGGGGAGGGAGGGGAAAAATGAGGACCTAATGTCGGGGGTTTAAATGGAGAGAAAATGTTTTGAGAAACGATGTACAAATGCACTTTACACAATTGATGTGTGTATGGATTGGGATAACAGTTGTATGAGCCCCTAATAAAATGTTAAAAAAGAAGAAGTGAAAGACACAAATAAAGTTCACTATAAATTAAAAATTTTTTTTAATTAAATAAAAATAATAACAATGGTAACATATACAATCAGTGATATATGTTTAATAAACTATACCACAAAGTAACTACTAGTCTAACCAAACACCTGAATGCTACAAAATAACAACTATCTAAATAGAACCCGAATTATGCTACAAAGTAACAAAAATTAACCTCAGCGACAGATGCAAATCTCTTCATTTCTATTTCTCAGTCTTACCTGTGATAAATAGCTTCAATAGGCAAGTTTTCCTGGCATATAGGTTTCATCAGTCTCTGCCTGAGGGATCGCTTCTCTTTCAGTACTGCTTCCAAGTGATTATTCATGCTTTGCAAGGTCTGACATTTCTGAGCTGTACAAACCAGGAATAGGGATTATAATAAGCAATAAACTAAGTACACTTCAGAATCACAGTTTCTTCTTTGCTCTGACTTAAGGAGACCGACATCAAATACATCATTTCCCTCCTAAACTTTCCCTTTTGCTCTGTTTAATACCAACCAATGTTGTTGTCAGGTGCAATAGAGTCTGTTTCAACCCATAGCAACCCTGTGCACCGCAGGACACACCGCCCGGCGCTGTGCCATCCTTACAATTGTTCCCATGCCTGAGCCCACTGTTGCAGCCACTGTGTCCATCCGCCTCCTTGAGGATCAGCCTAATAACCAGTTTCAATACCAACTACTTTCTCTTACCTGACAACCAAATCCTATGATAAATTCTTTCTCTACTCTACCCTTAATTCAATTTATTTTTAAATCATTTTATTGGGGGCTCGTACAACTCTTATCATAATCCATCCATCCATCGTGTTCAGCACATCTGTACATTTGTTCCATCATCATGTTCAAAACATTTTCTTTCTACTTGAGCCCCTAATTCAATTTTTAAAGTTGAAGATATACTATTCACATAGTCTCCTTTCTTATCTCGGTCTCTAATCTACAGGAACCATTACAAAACAAAGTTTCTTATAAGCTATGGGAGGTCTTCATCAACTTGTGGAATGATGGAATTTTTCCAACCCCACTCTGGTTATCTCGGTATTTCCTAGAATTTGTCTTTAAATGTTTTTTTTTAAGTTTATCTTGAAAATATTTCAGACTTACTGAAAAAAACTTTAAGAATAATTCAGCAAACTCCCATAAAAAAAAATCCCTTAGATTCACAAATTACCAAAATTTGGATATTTTTTCCTCTTTACACATCCACAAACTAAAAAGTCAAACTTGTTGCTGTTAAGTCAACTCACAACAACACACTGATAGACCAACACGCTCCATAGGGTTTTCTTGGTAACAGAAGCAGGTGACCAGGCCTTCCTTCCACAGTGCTCTGGATGAACTTAAACCACTTAATTTTTAAGTTAGTGGTCAAGCTACTGTCCTTAACTCAGTCTTTTCTCTAAGCTATGTCTCCTTTAAGTAGAGAAAACAAATCTGTGTTGGGAGAAGTACAGCCAGAATTCTCCTTAGAAGCTAACATGGCAAGGCGCTGTCTTGGGATACCCGACAGGAAGGACCGGTCTCTGGAAAAGGACATTATGATCAGTAAAGTAGAGGATCACTGAAAAAGGTCTTCAAAGATAACGACTGACATCGTGCCACACCAATGGGGACACACATTACAGTAATGCTGAGGATGGCGCAGGACCATCTCACAGTTATTATGTAGCCAACAGAGCAAAACACCAAGAAAAGAACAAAATAGGAAGAAAATTAACCTCTTGTACCCTCCTTTCCCCATAAGCACTAGTAAACTCTGGTCTCTATAATTTCGCCTTTCCTTGTCTTTGTATATAATAAGGTCATACAGTATTTTCTTTTTGTGATTGACTTATTTTGTTCTGCATAATGTCTTCAAACTCCATCTATACTGTAATACATATCAAGACTTCATTTCTGCTACTGGCTGAGTGGTCTTTCATTGCCTACTACCCGTTTCTGATGTTCTCCTAACTTTAAGGAGATTCTAATTTGGTCATTTCTCATGCTATTTACACTCATCAAGTCAGTGGAACTTCTATCACAGCAGAGAAATAGGAGACTGTTATTTAGAGGCTTGGGTCAGTACCTGGAAAATATTATAGCATATCATATTTTTGCTACTGCTTATTTAAAGTAGTCCAAGACTTAAATTCTAATTCCAATGACTACCCGTTTAGCCACATTACTTACCTAAGAAGAAAGGATGGACAACATCTGCTGTATCTTTTTCTAGTCTCAGGAGTTCAATTTCCATGTTTTTCTATATTAGGAACAAAAATAATATTTAGTTCATTTAGAGGGGAGGCTGGGGTGGGGTGGGGGAAGCTGAACAAAGGTTCAGCTTAATAAGTAGCCTTAAACCCAGGAATATTTTAGAAGTATGGGAAGGTGATCTTTATGAGAGCCCAACAGATTTAACAAGTCTTTTTATTCTGGTGGGCAAGCCCTCTGCTGCTATGGCTACAGCTAATCACTGATACTATCAGTACTACTACTAACTACTAGAAATAAACACGGATCAAGTTATGTGCCAGGCATTGTTCTAAGTGCAAGGGAATTGCTGATATCTGAATCAATTAAAATCCCTCTTTATCCCAGCCCCATACTAGAAGTAGAAAGAAAAAGTCCAATATAACTTACCTGACTGATTTCAGCTTGAATATTTGTGATCTGCTGTAATCTGGAGAAGTTCACAAAGCAAGAAGCTGGTTTCTTGGCTACATTTAACATCTCCTATTGACAAAAAGAACAGAGGAAGCAGCAGCATGTCACGGAAAGTTTTTGTGTACAAAAAGAAGGAAACCAGAGATTCAAATAAAGTATTAACCTACAAGGATAATTGTCCACACAAACCACGACCTCATCTACCCTGACACCAGAAGAGCTAGATGATCGGCTACCACTGATCAGTACTACAAGATTAATCCTGTTAGAATGGAAGGTGGCAGGGAAACCAGTTAACAGAAAAAGAAGAACCAGAATGGAAATAAGAATGTTTACACATGGTGAAGAACCACCATCACTCAACCACTTGTTGAATGGGAAACTAAACTGTTGTGTAAACTTTCACTGAAAATACAATATTCTTTCTTCCACAGAGGATGGTAGATTCAAACTGCCAGCCTTTTGTTAGCAGCCAAATGCTTCACCCACTGCACCACCAGTGCGCCTTAAAAGACAACAGCCACCACCCAAAATGGCTTAACATCAATGCCTAAAATTCTTTTACTATGACTTACTCTTTTGGTTTAGTTGTTTTGATTTTTTATCCAACACTCTAAAGGAAGTTTGCAAGTCCCAAATATCTTTTTTTTTAAATCATTTTATTGGGAGCTCGCACAATTCTTATCACAATCCATACATACATCCATTGTGTCAAGCACACATGTACATTTGTTGTCATATCATTCTCAAAACATTTGCTTTCTACTTGAGCCCTTAATATTGGCTAATTTTCCTCCCTCCCTCCCTACCCTCCCCCTCACGAACCCTTCATAATTCATAAATTATTTTGTCCCAAATATCTTACAGTGTGCATTTGCCCAAGTATTTTTGTGACAGGAGAACTGAAAAATATAAATTAAGCTGGTAGAAAAAAATAACGAGAGAAATGAGGAAGGATTCTAATGGGAATGCAAGTTTGGCTCTGCTTCTTTCCAATACATTTATTGCCACTTCTCCAATAAATTCAGAGGCTAGTTATTGTGTTTCAGATAAACTGGAGGATTTCTTCAAAGGAAATTTAAACTCTTTCAAGTATCATCCATCACAGTTTATCTTGACAATGACACAATGTACCAGATTGGGGAAAACCCTGGAATCTAATTCCATCTCTTGAGCTGAGTGATTTGAGCCCTGGAGGTGCACTGTCCACAGTTCCTCAGAAGAAAGACTGGACTTTCTACTCCCTTAAACGTGAGTCTCAGAAACCCACAGTGGGTCACGGAGTCAGCATTGACCCAATGACAGCAAGTTTGGTTTTATACTTGACTGATCATGGGTGATTTCTTGGTCTCAGGACCTTACATTGTAGGGGTTATGTGTTGGGTTGTTAACAAGTTGGAAGCCACCAGCTATTCTATGGGAGAAAGACATAGCTTTCAAATTCCAGAGTTACAGTCTTGGAAACTCACAGGGGCAGTTCTACCCTGTCCTATAGACTCACTATGAGTCAGCATCGACTCTATGGCAGAGATTTTGAGCCCTTAAATTAGAGGCCCTGGTGGTGCTGTCAAGGTGGCTAGAATCCACCAGCCACAGGAGGGAGAAAGGTGAAGCTATTATGCTCCCATAAAGACTTACAGTCTTGGAAACCCTATATAGCTGTGGTTCTCAACCTTCCTAATGCTGTAACCCTTTAATACAGTTCCTCCAGTGGAGAGCAAATGTTTTGAGAATAATGAGGGTAACGAATTTACAAATGTGCTTTATACAATTGATGTATGTATGGATTATAAGAGTTGGATGAGCCCCCAATAAAATGATTTTTTTTAAAGAAAAAAAATAGCACAAGTACAAGATGATTAGAAGAAGCTTCTTCAAAATAAAGACTTTTACATTAAAAAAAATACAGGTCCTCATGTTGTGGTGACCCCCCCAACCATAAAATTATTCTCATTGCTACTTCATAACTGTAATTTTGCTATGTTAGGGACCTGGAGCAATTACCCTTTCAATGGAAGGAGATCAAACACAAGGCTGCAATTACAGAAGAGGTTTTATTATGCTAGCTTAAGCCAGGGCTTGAGTCCTCAGGTGCTTAACTGCATGTACCGTCTTGGACAAAGAGCCCCCACAAAAGAAATTCCAAAGTATTTATTTACAGGTACGTATATGTATCCAGCCCCCCCTTCCCGTCAATCCAGATTGGCTCATTTGAGGTAGGTTAGCAGTCTGGTCCTTTGTGTAGTTCCCACGCTGGCCATGTTGTCCTCCCCTCAGAGGTTGGGCTCGCTGTGTCGTTCCCGGGTTGGCTAGCCTCAGTCTCTGGGTCCATCCTACTTTGCACTGCTAGGAAACATGAAACCACAACCTGCCCAAGATCACGGAGCCAGTCACGGGGGCAATTTGGCTTTACAATCCCCCCTCTTTTTTGTTTCTATGAGCATTCCTGCTCATAGCCACAACCTTGCATTTTTATGGAACTCTAGAACGGATTTTAGTTAAGTTCGTTGTACTATTGTCGAGAAATCATTAATTGGACTGTACTTATGCGTTCACGCACAGAGGTTACTAGTTTGTTTTTATCTTAGTTTTAACGTTAAACCGCAGAAGCAAACAGCAGATACTGACACCTGGGTTATGATAGCTACTGTTAAGAATCAGGCAATCCCTGTGAAAGGGCCGTTTGACCCTCAGGTTGAGAACCGCTGCTATCTAGGGCTGCTATGAGCCAAGAGCAACTCAAATTGCAGTGGCTTTAGTTGGCAGAGGCTTTAAATTAAAAGTCCCTAATGACTTTTCTAGAGTTCCTGGGTTGGCAAATGGTTAATGTCCTCAATGGCAGGCTGGAGATGCCTCAGAAAAAATGCCTGATGAACTAGTTCCAAAAAAACAGCCGGTAAAAACCCAATAGAGCATAGTTCTGCTCTGAACCACAAGTAAAAATCAACTTGACAGACACTGCTGGTGGTCCAATAAGTGTTGGACTGTTAACCACAAGGTAGGCAGTTCAAACCCACTAACCACTCTTCTCTCAATTTCCTTTTTAGTGAAATTCTTCAACTTTATCTTAAAACTTTTCTTTTCATTCCCTTGATTTTAATGTCCTTGATCCTATTTTTCCCATTCTCTTCTGCCACTGTTTTCTATTATTCCTGCATATCTTCAATCTCTCCCTCGACTGGGCCCGGTTCCCGGGCTCCCCGTTTGTCTATGAGCTCCCAGCCTTCAACATGTTGTTCCTGCCCAACCTAAAACAGCCATCTCTTGGGTTAGTCTCTCTCGTCTCTTCTTCACAAAATTAATCCCTTCCTTTGCTTTCTGGGAGAAAAGTGAGGCTATCTCTTTCTGTAACGATTTCCAGCCTCAGAAACCCTAGGGAGCAGTTCTACTTTGTCTTCTAGGGTCATTATGAGTCAGAATTGACTCCGGGGCAGTTGGTTTGGTTTTCTTTACCTTCCATGGTCTTTCAAGTCTTTTCCACTATTAGTATCCATTCCCTTTAAAGAGCCAAGCATGCAAAGTTATGAAAACCTTTTAGTTACCAAACACCTTAAAGGAATTCGTCACTAGACCGGGGGGCTCAGGAACAAGGTTTCAGAGCACTAAGATCAATTGGTACAACATTGTCCACAAAGATAAGGTTCTTCATCCTACTCTGGTGAGTGGTAGCTGAGGTCATAAAGGCATTTTCCGAGGCATAAAAATCAGGAGGCAGGAAAGGAAAGAAAGAATGAGGGTAAATGGTAAACACTGCTAGTGGAAAGAGTACTGTTACATTGTGGAGACTGCTATAACTGTGTATGAATTGTTGAACAGGAAACCCACTTGCTGTGCAATTTTTCACCCCAACCAAAATTTTTTAAAAATGGCATTTCCCTGTACCCAGCACCGCCCCCCACTATGCTTCAATACTTCCCACAAATGAATGTTGTTTGAACTACCGACTTCCAAGCCCAGTATCTGGATGAACACAGAAGGAAACCCTGCTCTCTTTTTAA